GGTTAAACATTGGTTATTGCTGATGCCTGCCAGTGGGAGTTTGTTAAACACTGGTACTTCTGTAACCTTGCCAATGGGGTTAAACATTGGTTATTACTGATGCTTGCCAGTGGGACTTTGTTAAACACTGGCCATGACTTATAGATGAGACTACTGAACTGAATCTGATTCTGCATTAACGGTTTTGTCATTAAACGCTTTGCTATTGAACTGAATTTGATTATGCATTAACTGTTTATCAAGCATGCTAAAATTTTACCTAAGGGCTATCCATACTTACTGAGTTATCTCATAGTTTTCCTTGTCCACCATTTCAGGAAGCGAAACCGAGGATGGGGAAACCAAGGGGAATGATGAGGTAGAAGGCTAGCCATTCTAATTGGATATAAGTTTTAGATTTTATTCTTGAGATTTTGTGATTTAAATAAGATCCGAGCCTTGTGCACTTGTTGGACCCATCTAATGAGTACACGGCATCTGCCACGTCCTCGGATTTGGGTTCTAGGGCGTGACAATGGATTTGACAACTATATTCACCAAATTGTGTAGTCACCTCATTGCTTCTGAGTGGGGAAACCAACGTGAGGGGAAGGCTATCCAGAATGGGCAACCTAACTCTTAGATTTCTAGGTTAAATTTATACATTTTACAAACCACTCCTCAAACCTTACAATTATTAAAAAATAAGTCCTCATATTTCTACCTTATTACATTCATGTCCTTAAGGGATTAAATTGAATCAAATTAAAAAAAAATTTCTGGATATTACATTCTTCGCCCCTTAAAAGAGTTTAGTCCCTCAACTCATACCTTGTTCATTGAAAAGTTGCGGATACTTTTTCCTAGCATCTTCCTCCAAATTCCATGTTGCCTCGCACTCTGTATGATTACTCCATTGAATCTTAACATAAGGTATAACACATCTCCTCAACACTTACTCCTTTTGGTCAATAATATGAATTAGTTGTTCTTTATAAGAGAGATCCTCCATCAATTGAATTGGAACATGTTTAATCACATGATTAGGATCTAGAACATACTTCCTTAGCATGGACACATGAAAAACATTTTGTACCTTTGATAAATTTGGTGGCAATGCCAACTTAAAAGCCACTTCTCTAACCCTTTCTAGAATCTCAAAGGGACCAATAAAGTGAGGGCTAAGCTTCCCTCAAATTTCAAACCTCACAACACGTTTGGTGGGTGACATCTTCAAGATACCTTCTCTCCCACATCAAATTCCAAATCACGTCTCTAATTATGTACATAACTCTTATACTTGCTTTGTGCACTATGAATGTGCTCTTATATAAGATGAACTTTTTTTGTAGCTTGCTAAATCAACTCTAGGCCTAACAAACTCCTTTCCTTAACATCTATCCAACATATTGGAGACCTACATCTCTTCCCATACAAAGTCTCGTATAGAATCGTCTTTATACTTGCATGGTAATTGTTATTATAAGCAAATTCTAGAAGAAGTAAATGATGATCCCAAGAATCTTTCATACCAATTACACATGCTCTCAACTTGTCCTCCAAAGTCTAAATGTTTCTTTCAGATTGTCTATTTGTCTATGGATGATAAGTAGTGCTAAAATTAATAGTTCCCAAAGCATTGTGTACACTACCCTAGAAATGAGAAACAAAATGGGAATCTCTATCTGAAATAATAGATATCGGTATGCCATGCAACCTTACAATCTCCTTCAGGTATAACTTTGCAAACCCCTCTAATTGCATTCTTATTCCGTAGGGAAGAAAGTGGGCAAACTTAGTTAATCTATCAATAATAACCCAAATAGAATCATTTCCATTTTTAGTTGTAGGCAAACCAGTGACAAAACCCATGGCTATATGTTCCCACTTCCACTCTGGGATAGGAAGTTGCTGTAACTTGCCTGTTGGTCTTTGATGTTCAACCTTAACCTGTTGGCATGTCAAACATTGAGCCATAAAATCAACAATCTCCCTATTCATGTTATTCAACCAAAAGGTATCTCGCAAATCCTTGTACATTTTAATACTTCTAAGGTGAACCATATTCCAATATTGTAAGCTTCTTTCATAATTACCTCTTTTAGGTCTGAATCATTAGGAAAACAAATTCGATTACCATGCCTAATAGAACCATCTTCATGAATCCTAAAAGATTCCAGTTTGGGATCATTGGACTCCACCTTTTGTCTCATCTTTTGCAAAAATAGATCATCTAACTAGGTAGTTTTTATCCTCTCAATAAAGGTTAGTTGGACTTACAAACTAGCCAAAAGTGCATCTAAGTCATGCCTATGTACTCTAACATCCATCTTCATCAAATCCTCCAAAATATACGTTTGAGAAGTAATTAAAATAGTTAGATTACCATGGTTCTTCCTACTCAATGCATTAGCTACAACATTAACTTTCTAAAGATGGTAATTGATTATTAAATCATAATCCTTTACTAACTCTAGCCATCTCCTTTGTCTCATAGTCAACTCTTTTTGTGTGAAAATATATTTTAAAATTTTATGATCATTAAATATCTTGCATCGTTCACCATATAATTAATGTCTCCAAATCTTAAGACCAAAAACAACTGCTACCAATACTACATCATGAGTCGAATAATTTCTCTCATATGGTTTCAACTATCTTGAGGCATGAGCCACCACCTTACCATGTTGCATCAAAACACAACCCAGTCCTTTCATTAAAGCATCACTAAAAACTGTAAAACCACCACTGTCATCAACAATGGTCAGAATAGGTGCTGAGACCAATATACTCTTCAACTCTTGATAACTTTATTCACATTTATTGGTCCACTCAAACCTCACATCATTTTGGGTTAACCGAGTTAATGGAGCTATAACATAAGAAAATCCCTCCACAAATCTTCTATAATACCTAGCTAAGCCTAAAAAGCTTTGAACTTCAGTCACATTAGTAGGTCTACTCCATTCTACCACTACCTTAACCTTTTATGGATCTACTAAAATTCCATCCTTAGACACCATGTGTCCTAAGAATGCAACACTTTAACCAGAACTCACATTTCTTAAGTTTTGCATAGAACTTCTTATCACTCAAAACTTGTAAAACTAGCTATAAATTTTCTTCATGTTCTACTATACTTTGAGAGTACACCAAAATATCATCAATGAACACCACAATAAATTTTTCTAAGTAGGGTTTGAACACCCTATTCATTAAATCAATGAATATTGTATGAGCATTAGTTAACCTAAATGGTATCACAAGAAACTCATAATGCCCATAATGGGTTCTGAAGGTTAATTTAAGAATATCCTTTTCTTTAATCTTCAATTGATGGTATCAGATCTCAAGTCAACCTTAGAGAAAACTTGAGCTCCCGCTAGCTTATCAAAAAGATCATCAATTCTATGGAAAGGATACTTGTTACGCACTGTCACCTTGTTTAACTCTTTATAGTCAATACAAAGTCTCATGGTTCCATCTTTTTTCTTTAAAAATAACATAGGAGCACCTATGTAACACCCCCATATACTTTAGTGAATAGATTAGAAATTAGAGTTCTTTAATTCGAAGTTGTAGGGATTAAATTGATTAGATTTAAAGTATGTGAACTTTATGTGAAATCTTGAAATACTTAGATACTATCTAACTAGCTTAGCCAAATTAGAGACATGTGGCAACATGATCACCAAGTCACCCATGGCTTCCTCCAAAAGATTTTAGAAAAAAAAAAAAAATCCCTTTTTGACTTAAACTCCTAAATACCTATTTTCTTTTCACACTTTTGAGCTTCCACCAAGAGAGGAGATTTTGTAGAGTGTAGCTTGGAGCGGACTATCTAGTGACCTTCTTCTTCAACTTTTGCTATTAACTTCTATTGTTTTCTTCAATTTGGTGCTTTAATTTCCATAGGTAAATATGAGTTTTAGCTATAGATTTTTGTAGATTATAGATTTACTATAATATACTAAAAATTAGTTTAAATTAGTAAGATTTGACTCTAAATCCTTAGTTTAAGAGACTTTTTGGTCATTAATTTTTTTTTAGAAATATATGATATTTGTGGGGCTTGTACAGGAGAAAATCCATAGTGAGTTTTATTTTTCATACTTGAATTTAGTGTAAATTCTATTGCTAAATACTATTGTTGTCGCTTTGTGTCCCTTACCTATTTTATGCGATGATCTCTTGGGTATTTGCATGATTAAATAAGAGTTTATATTGTTAATTAGACTTTGTTTGGACTATGCATGAATCTAGAAGGGACTTGGTTTTTCTCAATTAACTATTCATGCACTAAATTTTAATTATTTTGAGTAGGAAATCTTATGGAATATGTGAGTTATGCATGTGGATATTAATGTGAATCTTTTTAGAATGCCACGGACTAAGTAAAATATTAAATGAAATAATATTATTAAATTATTTCGAATGTGTTGTAAATTTGTTTGACAAATGTATGTGTTTTTATGGCTATGGACTAATCAGACCTAAGCTTAAAGCTTGAGGTATTTAGTGGAACCTCTGGGGTATTTGGTGGACCCTCTGAGATATTTAGTGGACCTTTGAGTAATAGGGTGAGTACTATGATTAGCTCTGGTACAAGTGTTGCTAGCACATATATGTGGACTCCATAGTATTGCGTGATTTTTGTTTATGCATTTTGCTTGTGACATTTCATTTATGAGCATATGATTTTATGATTTGAATTCGAACTAAATGTCACTAGCTATTTCT